CTCTCTCCTACACACCCCCCTCTCCCTCTCCAACTCTTTTAACGCAATCATACGTGATTGAGGTTCGTATTAGGAATTCTCAGGGGAAGATGCATGATCTCTGTAGGTGAAAAGTTGTGCATATAGAACACCAAAAATAAATAAATAGAAAGGAGGAGAAGGGGGCAACAGCTGGATTAGAAATGGGTGCTCGTGCATGTGAATCCTTTGGGTGCACATCTAAAATGGAGCGGGTCATCACGCAATTGTCTGTTTCAATTACGCGTCAAACCCGGTCAGCAAGAGGGCTGCATTAAACTGTTAAGAAAGCCCCCCCGTGCATGGCAAATAGATAAATCTTAATCAGCTTTGGCTTATGCTGCACAGTGTGCATACTCTCACCAGCACAGCTTATGCCTAAGGGGCATTTGCACGCATTTTATTTTGTAAAACCCCGCGGACACACGTGCCACAAAGAACATATTTAGTCTGGATAAAGAGATTACCTGCAACAGGTTTCTGCACACAGAGCAGGAGCAAGAAAAAAAAAGAAGATCCAGACAGTGACACAAGACATGGGTTCATATGAGGATGTGATATGAAATGAAATACAGCATCAACAAGAAACACTGCAACAATAAATTCCCTTCAAAACACCTCTCAGCCCTTTGGTTCATGAGCATATGCAGCACAAGAGCATATTTCTATCCGATATGTCACATCTGATTGAGGACAAATGCAAACCAACTGATTCTTGTCACTGAGCACAACTTTAAACTGCCATGTCTTCATTCTTATTAAGGTTACTGCTATGCCAAAGTAAAGGTAAATCAACGTAAAAGCCTGCAAACGTCTATTTGTATGCACCTCCGTGCAGCATGCCTCTGGTTTTCATGTCAGGTGTTGCACGGACTAAAGAGCTCGCACACCACTCTCAATCACACAGTGGGAGGAAGAAGACAAGCAGCAAACATTTCTCGTCCCCATGATGAAACAGCATGAAACATTTAGAGGCTTTTTCTAGGACTTGGTTTGACATTCTCTCTCCAAACCCAATCCGTAGAGACAGCAAGAGAGGGGAGAGAGAGGCAGAGCAACAGTGAGAGACGGACAGAGAGATTTTCTTTTGACTGCCACTGTCTGTCCCCCTTACGTAAGGTTTGGATATAATGGATGAAGGAGTCGAATGTGAAGTGCTGATACCCTGGTTAGTTATTTGCTGGTTTCTCCATGTGTATGTGAAAGACAGGGTAAGAAAGAGAGGGGAGGGGGAGGGAGAAAGAGAGAGAGAGAGAGAGAGAGAGAGAGATGGAGGGCAGATAAAACCATTGTTTTCCCACAGTAAGATAGACAAGAAAAAAAAAGAAAGTTGGAGTCATTCTAAATCAAAATCTGTAAATCCAGCTTTGTATTCCCATTGAGTTTCCAGTGAGTGGTATAAATTAATATGCCACTGCGGTGTAAAGAAATATCAATAAAAATTTCAATAAAACATTAATCATTCCGAATGATATGCAGCAATATGATATACTGTGCACTTCTTAGAAAAAGGAAAATCAGCTCGTGGTTGGGTGTACAAAGGGATTTTTTCTCAGAAATGGGAGGGACCTTGTAGTGGAGTATAGAGCGCTACAGACATGGACATACGTCTTTGTCAGGAAAAGATAAAGTATTCCCTAATGAGGATCTGCTAGGCTTCCTCCTTCTACCAGAGACAATTGATGTTCACTTCATTCCGGTAGAGATACATCCACAAGCAATAAAACACTCCTGCTATGAAATGGACTGCAGATAATACGAAGCAATTATTTAATTTGATGGCTGAAATGATTCAGGTTGGCTGAGTTCAGTCAGAGCAATTGTGATTTCTTTAAATGTGTTTGTGCTTTCACAGGAGAAAAAAAAAAGATTAAAAAATAGTATAAAGTGAAGAAAGTGCAATGTGTTAAATGTAATAAGTGTACAGTTGGTTTGTTTTTCTCTTATTAAACAGTCTTGTGTTCCACATTTTCTTGCTAGATGAAGAAATATTACCCCATAGCGTGACAGCTAAATGAACTGAAACAAACCAAAGCCTCAGCGTCCCTGTGGCCCTCTGCCACAGATGCCAACTTGTTCAGAGCCACTTCTTTATTCCTGCTGCCCCCATGTGGAGAGCAAACGCACGTTCAGGGGAGAAACTAGTGGATGTTTCCATTCTCTGAAGTCAGTCACTTCTGTGTGTCCTTGAAATACCTCACAGATTTGTTGACTCACAATAGCTGGAACTAGTTTTCGTAGTGTGCTGTCTGCTGAACCCTTCCTGCCAAGTCTGCGGGAGGCAAAGAGCAGAAATGTGACAGATTCGGCGGCTCACGATGCTCGTTACTACACTTGTAGCACAAATCGTCATGCAAATGAGAGAAGGAATATGCTGTTAAAGCCCAAACTGCACGGATGGAAACGACAAACGGGGTGTCGTTCGAGTGGCGTTTTTGTGCAGCAGAATGTGAGCGAATATGCAACAAATGCTAGAACAGACACAAAGCCAGCATTTACTGTCCCCACTGTGCAAAACAATACATGCTGATGCTTTACAAAAACCCCAAAATAAAAGTTGTCCAGAAATGAAATCTGATGTTTTATCAAGTAAACAGTCACTGAACACTACAAAGCACTGGATTGCTATTACAAGAAACACACAAATGAGGACAAGGTTTTATCACTTTTTTTTTACTCTATGCCACCCACCGTACACACTACTATTGGTGTGAGTGAGAAACACAATGCATATGGGTTTGGAAGCACTAAGGTTGAAAAAAGAAAAGAAAAAAAAACGTGTGAACTATAAATATCCTGCAATTCAAACACCCCAACTACAGCACTGGGGACCCTCTGCGCTCTTGACCGCTTCATTATACCGCTGCTTCGGATTTCTTACCGTATTAAAAATGTATAAATTCAGCACAGGAAGATACAAGCATATCATTTTTCAGAACACCTGGTCTACTTGAATATGTATGCTGCCGTATTGCCACGCGATATTATGAATAGTTAAAGGGTAAAGCAGGGTTTATAACAACTGGGTGTGTTTGCCTTCTTCAAACTTGTTGCCCCGGGCGCTGCGTTTCCACAACAGGAGATGCCCCCAGAGGGTTAACTCTGATACAAGAAAAGCCAGGTGCAAATCTTACCACTACAAAGGAAAGCAGGTGCAAACATTTAAGCCTACTCAAAAAAACACCTTCCACCAGAAATCCCTAGGAGGTAATTCTGGCTTAGTGCCTGAACCTGAACAAAAAAAACACCACTCTGCTCCTGCTGCTTTCCATGAACCTGCACTGGTCAAAGTATACTGGAGAAGATGTTGGCGTGAAGATTGCTGATTTTGGCTCCTTATTCGAGACAGTCAGGTGTCTGATACCTCTTTGTTTTACCAGTAATTTGCTCTGTCTGTTAAAAATGTGCACAGTTATGGAGAATATTCTTGTAGAATCAGAGAGTCAGTAAAGTAACCGCTGACGGGGCAATGTCTGCTTGAAATACAAGACGCTCGCTTTCATATTTTGGCTCTTAGTTGAAACATATCCCTCAAACTCCTCCTCAGGAGTTCTTGACAAACAGACATAACGATGCGAAAACAGAAACCCAAAAGATGAAACTTGTAAATGCAAGAAACTTTGAACAAACTCTTCACCCTGACACAGCTTCATTTTAAAGCAGCTAAACTGATGCATCCCTGCTTTGCATCCCTTTTTTTTGTTTTTTTTCGTCAACACCTATGAGCTGACTCATAAAGTTCTGATTGAGGTCAGAAGGTTCATGTAACAGTGAGCAGAGATGCAGGATAAGGACTGATAGTACTTTATATCCGAGCCCCACAGATCCCAGTGTGCGTGCTGCTTTTGGTCCAACCACCTCAGAGGAATCAACTGTGCTTAATGGAGTTTCTAATTGTCTGCCCTGAATTTGAGAGAGCCGCTCCAGCTAGCTGCTAAGAGGAGGCCGGGAGAAGGTGTTTGCATTTTGTCTCCCAGTAAAACGGCATTCTCGTCGAACGCCTGTGGAGACGGCAGATTTGTGTTATGAGTGAACAGCAGTGGCAATGCAGTGAATTGCCTGAGACATGAGTAGAGGACATGGCAGGGGATCTTAGGCTTGTTGCCAAAGGCTGGTCGGTGGTGGCGGTGTGCCGGCCTGCGTGTGCAAGTCATGTAGTTTTTTTTTTGTGCATTATTAGGTCTAGCATTGTTTGTTATGAACTGTTCCAAAGTGAGATGCCTGATGAGTTCTCTAATATGACATGCATTAAAGCCAAAAAAGTGAAGTTTGGGGACTATTTTTGAACTCATACCCAGTAAGTTTTAACTGACTTACGAGGGATTCCTGCACAAGATATAATCAATCATTTCTAATATAGATCCACTAACAGCCATGCAAACTTTGGGCCTGTAAAGTGCTCCTGCTATGGCGCTATCCGCGGTGCTGAAACGCGCCGCCTGCTGTTGTTTGGGGCCCTAAAAGCCAAACGCTGCCTCTCCAGGCCCCTGAAGTTTAATGACTTGATCCCTGCATTGTCCTTTTTTTTTTTTCTTTTTTCTTTTTTTTTTTTGGCCCGCTTCAGATGCAGCACCGGAACACGGCTCGTCTGCAAATATAGCTCGGTGTGGTAAAGTATCCTCCTCTCTCCTCCTCTCTCCTGCCAAAGCAGAGCTATTCCTCCGCGGCTGGGCAACAAGACTGCACACACAAAACTCGGGACAGATGCGAGGGGAGCACAAGGAGAGGCTCTCTGTTTCCACTGCAGACTCGGAAAAAAGATGTTACTCACACACTCGAGTGTTTTAATGAAACCACTCACCCCCCCTTCTTCCTCCTCCTCATCCTCCTCCTCCATCCTCTCTCTATACATCTTTTTTTTAATTTGTCCCCCCCCCTCTCCTCCTCCTCCTCATCCTCTTCCTCCAACCTCTTCCTTCATCACTCAAGAGAGAAAGCATGCAAAGCAAAGGCAGCTATGGTGCTGTGTTTTTGTCTCTCACCGTTGGTGATAGTGGTCGACTTCGATCGTTGTCCACAGAAACACTGCAGCATATGCGCTCCTTTCTGAAGGAATGGCCTCAGAATCCTCATTGATTTGGGTTGATGGGAGCCTTCCTCAATCCAAACAATCGGACAACGCTATCACAACACAGCAGCAGGGTCAGGCAGCATAGCGTAGCCCAGCCAGCCAGCAGCCTCTCTCTCTCTACAGGCTTCACAGCAGCCCTCAAAACGCCGGAAGGGCACAGTCTGCAGGACAAATTACGCTAAAACGAGGCATCTTGAGTGATTCCCCCCTCTCTCTCTCTCTCTCTTTCTCTCTCCCTCTCTCTCTCTCTCTCTCTCTCTCTCTCTCTAGCCCTATCTCTCTCTGTCTATCCTCTTCTCGTCCACCGACGGTCATTCGCGTTCACGGCGCACTCCTCTTCCGCCACAGCAGGCAACGCAAGGACGTTACAATGTGCTCTTAACTGTACATCCCACCGCCCCCCTCCCGTCCTGCCTCCGCGTCTTTACCAGCTGCGGACGTAATAGCAGGGAGGGAGGGAGGGAGACAAGGGGGGGAGAGAGCGAGAGAGAAGGAGAGAGAGAGAGAGAGCATGCACGCCAAAGTTAAACTGCAGGGGTAAAAGTGGCAGGCCGGTCCACGGGTGAGGTAATGCGGAGCTGACAGTTGAGAGCTGCACAGATGTTCCGAGAGATGATAGTTTGTGATTTTTTCCTTCTTCTGTTTTTCCTCCAAACCTATTGGGAAGCAGCAGGACAACGCAGGAGCCTACGTCAGCTTGCAGCCCACCCGCTTTAAAGTCACCGGTGTTTTCCCTCAATGCGTTGACAGGAGGAGAAAGTTTATGGCTCAGTCACTGCGTTATGGAGGAGCAGGTGTCCACACCGTGGCCACCTCGGTGTCCTTCCGGCACCGCAGCTGTGCGCTCATTATGTCACCCAAGTGTGATTCATCCCGTGTGTCTGAGTTGCATTTCAGGGTTGTGGTTAGTCAAGGTAGGGATTCATCTTAAATCTAATCATGATAAATGCAAGAAGAAGAAGAACTGCACCTTGACAATAAAACAAATATCAAATAATAAAAATCCTGAACATGCAACGTACATTTTTATAAAGCCCCAAAGTTGCCTCCTTTAAAAAAACATTAGGATCAACATTATAAAAGTACCTCAGCGAGTGTAAAATGTTGGGGTCAAGGCCCTACAGTGTCATTTAGGTGGGTGTACTTTTTTTATAAAGCCCCAAAGTTGGACTCCTCTAAAAAGCATTAGGATTGGGATTACAAAAGAAACCTCTAACAAGTGTAAAATTTCAAAATCAAGGCCCTACACTGTCATTTATGGTGTGATTTTACCACCATTCATTCAAATATTAGACATTAAACCCTGCAAAAGTTACATAAAACACTACTTTACTTGACTATAATACATATTAAGGCCCTACAGTGGTATTATTTATGGAGAATAACCGAACTGTTGCAATAATAAACTTAGGAATTTATGTTTAACTTGTTGTAACAATGTGCTAGAATTGAAATCATGATCAAATATTAAAACTACTAAAACTACTTTAACTACAAAGTTGAATTTAAATGGGACTATAAAGTAGCATGAAGTGCAAACTCTCAAGTAAAGTACAGGTACTTCATTAGTGCTTAATGCACAACAGACATTTTTGAGCAACTAGGCAAGCACTTTATGTTCAAAAAGTTCATTAGTGTTTCATATTTCCAAAAAACAAAAAAGGAGCACAGATAATTAATAAGACAGGACAGTGACATGAACAAGAACAACCAAACAGAACTTAGTTTCACCGCAAACAGCACTTTAACTAATGAGCGATCGCACGAGGATCTGCAGAAGTACGCTTTGTTATCACGCGAAAACGACAAGTCAGCTCTATGGCTCATTACGTTTTAGGACACTTCTAGGACTCTGAGTTGTTGGCAAATCACAGGAAATACTTTTGTTGTGTCATATATGCAGATCTAAACTGTATAAACCATGTTGACTCAAAACTCAAAGCTTGTTATAATCACGTCAAACATCACCAATCGTGTGCTACTTAAGACGCTCTAAAGATCTTATTACAGTTAGGAATCATGATCCAAAAGCCAAGGTTCAAGTGCACAATGGCCCAGCATTCCTGAGCTGCAACACTAACAGGACTATGTGCTGCTTTCCACACTAGAGGGCGCCACAACATAAAACAAATGGAAATAAGATAAGAAGCAGAGAGAGAGAAGGAGCTGAAATCTGATCAACAGCTTCAGTCAAGACACATCACAACTCTTTGACATGCATGGAAAGAGATTTTTTCTTTTTAACGTTGTCTGGTAACCAAATAAAAACACAACGACTCTCCTGCAGCGTTAATTCAGCACACTGCTGCAATTGAAGTATTTTACAGTATGTCTTTTTTTTGCACTCCTCATTTCTGTGCTCCTGTAACCTTGCACCACAAGGACAACAAATTATATGGCACCAACTACCCTGGGAACATGCCCTCGCTGTGTATAATATATACAATGTACATAAAAGGACATATTAGGTCAGCAAAATGCCTCAACAACAGCATCCATGCAAATAAGAAAAAGGTCAGAGAGGAATAAAGAGAGAGAATGGCTGGAGGGAGCTGGCATCGGACCCACAGTCACAGATTACGGTGACGGTGCCGTGCTGTGGATTCACCTCCCACCGTACCGTCCCACTGCAGAGCCGATCAGACAGGAGGAGAGAGAGGAGGGCACATGGGGCTATGACACAGAGGGCACACAGAGGGACTGAACTGTGCTAATGTAAGGCAAAAATTTAGGATATATGATCCAAATTAAGCGTATTTTACAATCTTGTCATGCTTTTTTTTTTTAAAGAAAACTCAGACTCTTTTTAAATTTGAATTCAAAGCAGACAAACAAAGCCAACGTCAGAAGGGCTAAAGAAAACGATAGCAGCTCAAGGTGAAATAATTTGTTAATTTCTCTAATTCACACTCGATAAATTCAGATATTACCAAAGCAAATAAGCACTGCTCTGCTCACCGCACACTGACAGAACAGATTGTCCTCTCAGATCTCAAATAACTGATCAATCAGGGCACCCAGGTGAAGAAAAAATCTGCTATAACAGTCTTAATGTTGGCTGGGGAAAAAAAAAAAGAGAAGATGCACTCGGATACAATTAGCTTCCTTCCAGTGCTTTTCAAATGTTTTTTGAGTTGATAAATGAGGCTAAACAGAACTTATCTAGCTGATGAAGTTCAATTAATTTACAAAAAAAAGGCTTCATTCTCAATAGCAGAGAACTTTTGTGTAAAATACAAATAAGTCTTGCATTTAATAGCGATATAATCATGATGCTAGATTCACAGATTAATGACTTGCATCTTATTTCGTGTTAAGTTGTACCGATTTTTACAATGACGCGTTCATCCACGTGGTCCGTCTCCACCCTCCTCCAACATGTGTTGTAACTGTACCTCGTCCAAAAAAAGACCGACCCTGTCCGCATTTAAGCAAACTCAGGTCCGACTGTGATGACACCGTGGAAAGATGCTGGACAAGGCCTCTCTCGTTTCACCTTTCTAGATATGCCAACAGAAGCGAGGTTGAAATGTTCACCTTGTAAAGGCGACACGAGCTTTGACTGAAACGGCCGTCAGAGTGGATCATATATGAACGTATTGTGCTTTGGTTGAATGTTTAAAATGCCCTAAATGTGGTGCATCTATGGCATGAAGGCCACCACAGTGACTTCAACGACTATCCAGTGACATCAAAGAAATCTTAGAAACACTGGTTAACTCACAGCTGCTCCTGGAGGATGATTATGTCCTTCAGCTACAGCAGTCTGGTTTTACACTTGGTCGTAATGCCAGAGCTGCTGCGACTGCTGTTACACTTTCCATCGAGCAAAGCGATGCTGTGCTGCAGTGTTTGCACATCAATCCGAGGTTTTTGATACGACTGATTACAACATCTGAGGGTTGAAATGTTTCTGCTG